AATGACTCCCTTAGAGCAATTGGATGCAGATTTTGAAAGGGTCAAAGCATGGCGATCATGGAAGCTATCAAGGATCCTTATCCTTCTTCAAGCAGACACCTTCTCCCATATCATAGAGGAAGAAGACTTTGTTGTGGAGTGGCTTGGAACTGATGACATGGCTGAGGCTACAAGACTTCACACAATCAACCAAGTGTACGTCGTAAAGAAAAAGAACCTCACAGCCAAAGATGCAATCGAAGACTCAGACGATGATGATCTGGATGATGATGATAATGCTTACAACGCACCCAAGGGACCACCAAGATCAAGAGGTAAGCAAATCGTTCACTCCTCCTCTTCTGGTGATAAAGAACTCAGACAAACCCTTGAGAAATCAAGGATGGAAACTAAAGGAGGTGGGGAATCCTCTAAGGCACCTCAGAAGCTGTTGCTTGCTACTATCCAGCAGGGGACTGCTATGATAGATCTCAACTTGAAACCCCACCAAGATACAGTACCTGAGCAACCTGCCACATCAAACGAAATCAAAAAACCAAATTCAGCATGTGGATGAAGAAGACACTCCAACACTAGCAGAGGTCTTCATCAACGAAAGAAGAGCAACCACAAAATTCATAAGCAATGCTGAGGTGCGTCTACACAAGAGACTGATCAAAATGAAGAAGCATTTTGATGAGCTGCTAGAAATGAGGTTCGCTGAAGTACACTGCCATCTAAAGAGCAATTTGATGATAGAGCAAGTATTCAACTCAGAGCAGAAAGCTCAGCTCAACGTCCAACTCTCAAACCAACCAGCTCAGATGGAGGCGATTCCCAACGAACTTGAAGCTTTGAAAGCCAGGGATGAAGAGCTGGAAAATCAAATTGTAGATTCACTGAAGAAGCTAAGGGAAAAAGAGCTAGCAGTGGCCTCCCAAGCAGCAGAGCCCTCTGCCCAGGTACTTCCTACCATCTCTTTGCCTCCTAATCTTGAGGAGGCCTTTAAAGCAATCCAAGAGCATGAGGAGTTCATCCAAACCATGCAGACCAAGGAGCTTCCAGCCATGCTTCATCTTTCACAAAAACTCACAACAAAGCAAGTGGAGCACTCAGAATCAATTGCCAAAACAAGAGCAGATGTTGCTAAGCACCTCACAAACTTACACAAGGCCACTCAGGATGCCTTCTACAGGCAGGGAGATGAACTACGAAAACTCGGCCAACGCCAGCAAGAAACGGCTGAGAAGCTGGTCAAATTGGACAAGGAGGTCAAAGAAGAAGTCAAAATTGACTTAGAGGAACTCCGCAACACTGTAATAGGACTATCCATCGAGGTCAACGACCTATACCCAAGGCGAACACATCAACAGGAAGTTGCTTTAGACCCTGAACTACAAGATCTCCTTCAAAACATCAAGACCCCTGCTGCTGCCAAAAAGGGGGGAAAGTCAACACAAGCAGGTCCCTCCTCCAAAAGATCACTAGCAGCACAGAAAGGAGCAGAAACAAAAAGGAAGAATCAACTCTACAAAGAAGAAGCTGAAATCAGAAGAAGAAAAGCAGAAGAGGCCAAAGCCAAGGAAGAAGCAAAGAAGAAACAAGAAGAAGACGAGCAAGAGTAGGCTAGATCTTATAGTCCGAAACTGACTATAAACTATTGTACTCTAGAAATTAGAACAATGTATAAAACTTCAAAGAAAATCAATAAAAATGTTTGTTACTTGTGTTGTATAGTTTTGGCATCATCAAAAAGGGGGAAATTGTTAGTACCCAATTTTGATAAGATTTTGATGATGCCAATATACTTAGCACGTGTACATTGTATCTCATTTTATTCTAGTATTAACGTGACAAATTAAATGTACAGTTTTTGAGTCTGAGAAATATTACCGCAAAAATAAAAATGCAATAAGGTAAAATTTCTTTACCTTAATAGGATATTTGAATCCTACCGGCAAATACTATTTGACTCAAAAATTACTCATATGTCACGAAGCTCGTAATATCAAATGGATGATTGAAGACAAAACTTGACCGGTATTTAATACTGAATCAAGTACTGGGGGTCGCGGCATGGGAAGTGTTGGAGATATTTAATTGTGAATCAAGTTGGTCATAGATTAGCTTTATATTTAATCCTTGTATTTAAATAGTGCATAAATTAGATAGAAATCAGGCCAAGTGTTAGGCCCATTTAAACAGGCCAAAAGCCTGGTACGCCTAACCTAAACCTCGCCTATAAAAAGGGAGCCGAGGTTTAGGAAAAGGTTGAACGTCGTACTTATTATTCATAGCCTTACGCTTATCATTCTGCTGTACGTTCCACGGTTTATCAAAGAAGGTTTTACGGTGATTCATTCTGTGTTCATCTTTACGTTTAATCTTCCTTGTTAGATCGATTATTCATTGTTGTTACAGAAACAGGGACTAACAGGACGCACACATGAAACTGTTTCTTGAAGAGAAACTTCAGCGGGTGAATTATTCAAGACAAATACATCAGCCCGAACTAAAGCTCCAGCACAAGAAGACGAAAGTACAATTTGTCCTTGTCAGAATTTCAACGTCAAAGATGAATCCATCCTAACCAACGAATGAGATTAATTCAAAGGAGATGCCTATAAATATAGGCTGAAACGAAAGTTTCTAACCAAGCTTTTGAGCATCCAAAGAGAGAATTTCTATCACGATTATTCACGAGATATCAAGCAAAAGAGAAAGTGTTATTCTAAACTTTACTCTCTGCTTGGACTCATGCTTCACTAAACTTCTCAGTATCAAGTATTCATTGCCAAAATCCCAAAAGTTTAGTTCCTAGTTGGAGGTTAGAACTTTCTTGTAACAAGATCAGAAATTGTTGTAAACACTTCAGGAGGGCGGTTGTTCCCGGCCTGAGTGTGGTTAGATAGGTCAGGAGTACCTTTTGATCCCCACTGGATCAATTGAGAAAAACCTAAAGGATTGAGTAGCTTGGAGTGGTGTTGTACTCCTCGTGAAACACCTTCAATCTAGGCAACTGTTGTAAAGGCTAGATTGGCACTAAGTGTATTGGGCTTAATACTTTAGTGAAATCCATCTGAAAGAGGGTGGGACTCGACGTAGGAGGATTACACCACCTCTGAACCAGGATATATCGTGTGTTGAATTCACTTCGGTCAACAAATCACACACCCAACACTTCTCACATAAAGATTGTAGTCTGCCGGCAGCATCCTAAGCAGTTGTCTTAATTGACCTAACTGCTTATCCTACTGCTCAATTACTCACTTTCTTTGAGACCAGATTCACACCTTCAACGTGCACCAACACCACTTAAAAGGATCACTCTTTCAGTTCTCTGAAATTCACCTTCTAAGTACAGCAGGTGCCTCAGCAGTTCCCTGGAGTCCACCCAACTGCTGAGCCCTCTGCTCATTTATACTTGTTTCGTGTCAACATCTCAAACATCACCAGATTGTCACTACCTCATCAAGAAGTTTGCTTAACCCAATAAGTTTTTGATCCAAGCAGGTGCCTCAGCAGTTCCCTCATATTCATCCAACTGCCGAGTCCACTGCTTCAGCAAAAAGCTAGTCTCCCTTCATTTAAGCATACTTACCAAAAGGCCTCACCATACTCATCAAACAACTATCTCTACCTTCATCATACACTCTGCATTTCCTGATCAGTTGCCTCAGCAGTTCCCTGCTCTTAGCCACCTGCTAAGCCAACCGCTAGCATTCTAAGCCAAACACTCTCCAAGTTAGAAAGTGGCTAAACACTCATTACATAAAGGGTAAAGACTTCCGTTGTGCATCTATAAATCTCTCAAAAGTTTATAGATTAACTCTCTTAGAGGGAAAACTTTCAAAAGTCCAAAAAGATTTAAAAGTCTATTAACCCCCCCCCCCCCCCCCCCCCCTCTAGACTTTTACCCTATCCGGGACCATCACCGGCGAACTGGAACAATAGCAGAAAACCTGGGAATTTTCGGAGTAGTTGGAAGTGTTTTTAGCTTAAGAAAATGTGAGGAATGTATTGTGTGTTGTTTTGTTGCAAACCACCTGCCAGCTATTTATAGGAGGATTTGTTGTGTAAATGTGGTGTTAATGGACCTGAACGTTGGACATCAATGACCAGTCCGTTGGGCATTGAATCGTCCATAAACTGTCTATTTAACGCAGCATTAAAAGAGAAGAACGTTGGGCATTTATTGCTGTAACGGACCAGAAGACCTTCTGGTGCGAACAGAATACCTCGAGGTGTTCTGGTCTGAAGCCAACAGAAGACCCCAAGGCCTTCTGTCCGGAAGCCAGCAGAAACCTTCTTAGGTTCTTTAGACCGTATCTTTGAATGGCAGATTTTTCGTACGGCATTCGTGTCCGCAGGTCGCCCGCGCACACGAGTCGCCGTTTTTCTTCTCCGTTTCGGGATTTGATCCCCCCCCCCCCCCCGCGCGCGTAAGAGAGAGTCTTTATCTTCAGGAATCTTAACTCCTTAAAAGAGGTTTCCCTTTATGAGGGGGTGAAAATCCCTTGAGTTTTCCGGTATGGTATAAAGCACACTAGAAACCCTTCATTTTCCCAGTTTTTCCATTTCAACGAGTGAACTTCGAGAATCAATTTCTCATTCACCCGTTATCCGTTTTGAGTGTACCATATATCGAATTGTAGCCCTTAATAAGGACAATCCGAAACCACTTTGACCCGAACCAAATAGGAAGTGGACCCCACTCAAATAATTGCCCCAAAATGATCATTTAATGCAATTTTTAATACATTTTTCCAACAGGCACATCATGCGGAAGGTGGGCCGATCCCACGGTATAATTTGACTAGGTATTCTCGATTGAAATGCGTGGCTTTTTTTATTACTGTACTATTTTTTCTTATTTTTCCTTTCCTTAAAATGCTTTACTAAAAAACCTTGTAAGTTTTAGCTTTCAAGGGAAAGTTGTAATTTACCGTTGCACTTACCTTCATTATAAAAAATTGTTAAATGCTTTCTAAATGTTTATTATCTTTTTCCTTTTAAATCAGAGATGAAGAAATAAATCTATGCATCCCTGATTATCCTTCAACTTAGTCATGAGGATAGTCGGATTAACGGGAGGAATTGCTTCTGGGAAGAGCACCTTCTCCGATCTTTTCAAGTCACACGGAATTCCTGTAGTCGATGCTGACATCATTGCCCGTGTAAGTACCATTCCATGATTCCATCCCCTTTTGAGGCTCCCCTACTCCAAATTCAGCTTCAATTATCTATGAATTAGTGGCGTATATAAGTGTGCTTCATAGTAAGCTTGTTCTCCATTTTTTGCGGACTTGATGTTACGACTACTCTTCGTGATTGTGCAGAATGTCTTGAAGAAAGGCACTGGCGGATGGAAAAGAGTTGTGGCTATGTTCGGGGAGGACATCTTACAGGACAACGGCGAGGTGGATCGTGCCCAGCTAGGTCAACTTGTGTTTTCTGATCCCGCAAAGCGTCAGCTTCTTAATAGGTGTGTGTTGAAAAGTAAGAAAAAGTAGGATGAGTCTAATAAAAGTAAAATGTGAAATGATAGATGAAGGGATATAATGAAAAAGTAAAAAGTTAATGAAGCTTACTTTAGGAAAGTGTTCATACATTTGGCACAATCCAAAAGTATATCTTTACAAAATGAGATGGAATGAGTATATTACAAGTCTTGTTTTACCCATTTTACTGGTTCAGGTTTTTTGTGTTTAAGCCTGGTATGAGACAGAAATAAGTTTTTTATTGTAAATCAGATCTGAGGTTTTATTATACTCTCAAAATTTATTTGCTTAGCAGGTCATCGGTTTGTGTCTCAGAATTGAGCTAGAATGAAATATGAATATAGATTTTTTAAGGGACTGTTGTTCTGTTTTAATAACTCTGTATTTGCGGCATGATGTGTTGTTCTCACTGATGCTTTGTAGGCTGTTAGCACCTTATATTTCATATGGTATTTTTATGGAAGTCTTGAAGTTGTGGATCAAGGGTTGCAAGATAATTGTTCTTGATGTGCCCCTTTTATTTGAAGCTAAGATGGATAAATGGACTAAGCCTATAGTTGTCGTTTGGGTTGATCCTGAGACACAACTTCAGCGGCTCATGACAAGGGACCGGTCAACAGAGGAAGAGGCCAAAAGCAGGATAAATTCTCAGATGTCTCTGGATATAAAGAAGGAAAAGGCAGATATTATCATTGACAACAAAGGGACACTAGGGGCTCTAAATGAGCAGTTTGGATTGGTGCTAATCCAGATTACAAAGCCATTGACTTGGTCCGAATATGCGCTTTCTAGGCAAGGAGCTATTCTTGGATTGATTTCTATTTTTGTTGGCATTGTAATAGCCAAGAACAGTTTATGGATGTAATTAGTTTGTTTAGACTTTACATCAGATTTCATGCTTGTAGCATTTTATGAAAAAGTCGTTCCTTTTTCCTGCTGTCTGATTGTGCTCTCGTGCCTTTGCTAACATCCTTTATGAGAAAGTCTAGAAGAGCTAGCAGACATCCTATTGCTTGTGATTTTGATGATAATGAACTCTCGTTGCATTAAGTTTTTTATTATTATGTTGATGTTCATGTCAAAAATAGTGGCTGAAAAACTGAGATCTCTTCATGAATTAATGAAGCGTTACACATCAAACTGTCCGAGCTCGCATAAGAGCTGACTCGGGCAGGCCAGACAGTTTGATATAGCATCCCACATAAATAGCAAACACATTCTGGAACCCATTGGGTATTTGGCTGGAGACCGGACTTGTCCAAACTGGTTCAGATTCCTCCAAATAGGACTGGTTAGGATTTTTCTTTTTGTAAAAAACTAAAGAGCAGTTCAATAAACCGTCTGGAATCAAATCAATAACTGAAAGTATACTCGATTAGAGTTGTGATTCCACACATCCCACTAGTGAGCAAACGGTGTAACATTGATACACAAACATGAAACTACTTTTATTTGTTCTCTAGATAAAATATATTTTAAAAAATAACTTTTTCATAATTCACCCAAACCAGCCTTATCAATCAGAATATCTACAAACAACCAATTTTAGTATTATCAAACAAGTTTTATATGTCATGCCAGTATATTTATTATCTGTAACAGTAGAATGCCAATATATTTATTATCTGTAACAGTAGAATGATTAGCTTGCATGAGTTATGCAAGCTAATCCTTATTCAGGACCTCACCTGTAATTCAGCCTCACAAGCGTCTGGAAACCATAGATAGTAAAATTGTATGCAGAAAAAAAAAAGAATAAACTTCATGAATATCATCAGGAGCAATGAATTGTGAGAGTGTGAGACTCATGAGTACTCCATATGACACAACAATTGATACTAATAATAATAACTCAGCAGGAGCAGAAGAGTAGCACTCCATTAAATTATTCAGCAAGAGACAAAAACAGTAGAAAAATGAAAAACTAAACAAGTACTGCCAGCACTCACCCACCACTGGAATGAGGGGGAGATCTACTAGTAGAATGAGTATTTTTCAGCAACGCCTGGGTAAAGCTTCCTGTAAATGGCTAGTGCAACAGGAAGGATAGCGGTGAGGGCTATAGAAAGATTATCCGAGCTGCTCGTCCTGACTGATACCTGCCCACTCATTTTGTTGTTTATTCCAGCCCGAACTGCCACCTTTGAGTTTCGACCAGCAGAAAACTGGGCCAAAGCATTGAGACCTAGAGCCAAATCTCCTCTCCATTTGATCACAGACATACTCAGTGTGGACTGAACTTGCCCGATTGGGTAATCCGCTTCCCTTCTCTTCACTTCAAAGTTGGCCCCATAAGCAGTCTCACTCTTTGATCTGACTGTGCCCGTACTACCGACAAGAACATACCGTTTGCCCAAAGTGACCTGGTCTTCAACCTTGATCCCTGTCACTACATTCTCACCAATGAATGTAACTGACACCCCAGCAGCTGTCTTGTTCTTTTTCAGATTCTTGAACTTCGTTTCACCACGGACAACATAAGCAAGCTGCTTCCCAATGTTTTGGATGTCAAAACCTGCCATGCTGGACCCGTTCTCTCCATGCTTGGCAGAAACGGATGAGTCCAAACTTACACTGAAATCTTTCTTATCTTTTGAGATCTGGAAGGTTATTGCTGCAGGGAAACGGTCAGCGATGGCTTGACTGTGTTCAATGTTGACACCTTCATAACCACAATCATGATCCCACCCATGTGTGTCAAGAACCGGCCTGGCTAGAAACTGTGACGTCGGTTCCAAGAACCGGTACCTGTAGGTAGGGTTATCACTGTCAAAAGACGGGGGAAGGACCATGTCAGGCAAAGGGACAGCCACTGGGGCAGCTGCCCCAGAATCAAAATCGTCATCTAGAGGAGCTTCAGCACCCTTCCCTTTCTTCTTCATCTCTCTCATTCTCCTCAACTCTTCTCTCCACTGCTTCTTCTGGAGGAGCTTTACTCGATAGTCATATTCCTCAAAGTATGCCTTTTTCTGTTCTTTACTCAGTTTAGCAATTTGGGCTCTCCTGAGTGGCTTAAAGGGTGGAAGCTGGTCATACTCTTCTTCTCCTCCCCCTTCTTGGTCAGAATCAGACAAATCATCCAACTCAATATCAGAGTCAACGTTATCGCCGCCCAGTTCGCTAGTCAACTTTGGGTGGGGACGGGACTGCAACATTGAAGACAACATGTATGGAAGAGGAGGTGACCGGACCCGGAACCCAAACAGTTTACGGTGGTCAAACGGGTCTTGTGGCTTAGAGAGAGAACTCGCTTCGGACAATATCTTCATTGAATAGCATAAGAGAAGTAACTGTGGCTTCCAGATCTGACCATTTGGCAGTATCCTCTGTCCATCCCTGTTCCTTCTACAAGCAGGATGGTTTTCAACGAGAGAAACAGGGTTCATCATGCTCGGACTCATCATGTGTAGATCCCCCACAGCATGCCCAATGGACTGCTGAACAATGCGTGACCTTTGAGTAACAAAAACCTCATAACTCAGGGGAGAGCCAGAAGGCCCATCTGGAGGAGCAGAAGCTGCGTGTGTCAGCGTGACAATGGTGCTTCGCCAGATGGCGGAACCCAGGGAGGCTGTGATGGTCCTGAGAAGCGGGAGATCATTAAGATCCCTGGTCTGGGAATCCAAACGGTCCACATAGAGAACAATATCCACCGGATTCTTCTTCGTCAACTTCTTAACGTTTGACAGAACTTTGTTGTTAAAAGCCTGCTCCATGGCGGCTGACTTGAGACCGGGCGTATCGAACACTCGAACCTTGACTCCGTCCATAATTACACAGATTTCTCTTACATCAGTGGTCGTTGGTGAAAAGGCATCAATTGGGGTCTTCTCTTCTCCGAGAATAGAATTTATAGTGGCGCTCTTACCCACTCCAGACTTTCCAAGAACTAGTATGTTCACAGAGAAGTTCAATCCATCATCATCTTTCGTCTCTGTTTCAAGCTGAAGGGCGGTTGATTTGGCTGTATCAATGCTGAAGAGTTTGCTATTCTGCTTTCCTGCAATGAGTGACAGCCTGTACAGAACCTGTGTAGCTATGGATTCATCCGAAGAGAAACCCAATCGCTTGACAAGTCTCAAGAACTTTACTCTAATTTCCTGCAGTTTCTCAAGCTTCTTTTTTTCTTCTTCGCTCAGGTTTTCCTCAGCATCTGAAGTGTTTGAGAGTGTGGGGGTGAAGAGAAGGGAACGGTTATTAGGTTGGGTGGAAGCAGTGGATCCCAGAGAACGGAGTGATGACCCCAAACCAGCGGGACGCTCTACTGAGAAGAGTCTAGAACCATCCTGAGAGGTAATGGTGATATTCCCGCCGCCGTCACGGTCAGCACCACCAGTTGCAGCTTTCAGTAGAGCAGCCAGAGCAGAAGAATGGAGCATTTGCTTCCTGTCTCCTCCTTCCTCATCAGTGTCTACCTCCTCCTCCTCCTCCCCCTCCTCATCGGAGTCTGTCATGACTTGACCATCAATTCTAGGCTCTAGAGAAGAAGCCTCAACACGGCCCGACTCCCTTTCCAACTCCTCAATGAACTGCCTGGCTGCTTCAGAGCTTCCGAATATCATACCATCTGACTCCTGATCTGACACTGAGCCATCTGCTAGTTCACCATCTCCACTTATCTCATTATTTTCTTCACATTCTGGTATTTCTAGTGTATTGAGTTTGGATGAAAAATTATCAGTTGAACCTTCCATGTCATTGCTGTGTACAGTATCTGATGATGCATTTTGAGTGGTTGCTTTGTCTGAAAGCTTCTCTATTTCCATACGATTAAGCTCCTTTACCTTTTCCATGACATCTTCAGGCACATCAAGACTGATAATATCAGATTTAGTAACACTTACTGGCATATTGCCTGTGAATTCCATAAGCGGTTTCGTTTCATCAGCTGTGTTAATAGATGCTGCACTCTCACCATTGTATGGGACCCACTCCTGATGTAGAGCATTTTCTCTTTCTTTCACAGTGAGAACGAGCCCTTCACTTGAAGAATCAATTGGTTTTATTTTATCAGTTTCATTCACTGATGCCACATCCTCCGCCCCTTCCTGCATTTTCACATCTTTTGTTTCTTCCACAACAATAGCTGTCCCGCCAACTGCCTCCACCTCCTCTACCTTCTCTTGACCCACCCCTTCACTCATAAGATTAACAAATTCATCTGAACTGATATTATTATCCCCACAACTAACCCCAGATCCTTTCATGTCATCAAGTTGAACCTCGCTAGCATATCCATTCAACCCGTTAATTTCAGTAACATGCATAGCTGAATCTGGGAGACTGTTATCGATACTAGATACATTCCCTTCTAAGCCATCAGGTTGAACCTCACTTGCATATCCAGTCAACCCCTTAATTTCAGTAACGTGCACAGCTGAATTTGGGAACCCACTATCAATGATAGATCCAGAGTCACCAGATTCTTCTTTTTCCTCAAACAACGAAGCCCCATCTCTGTCAATCACCTTCTCACCCTCCAAGTCCTCAACTTTATTCATATTATTGACATCATCACTCAAGGAAACCTCTGGATTGGGAATGATTTTCCCAGGAGGGGCCTCTAGAACAGTCTCATCAGTGAGAGCTCCAGTCATGTCAGCCTCCACCACATCCCCACCATCCACCTCGTCCTCGTGGGTCTCCCATCTCCCTTCACTTACAGGATTTACAAATTCGTTCAGATTTTCATCTGTAGAAACCTTAGCTCCATCAATAGTCAAAGAGCCCTCTAAGCCACCACCAGGTTGAACCTCAGTAACACTTCCATTGTCAAGGCTATCATCAGAGCTACCAGGTTCTTCTCTATCTCTATGCTCTTTCTCCAAAAAAGCCTCATCCTTGTCTAAGACCCCATCTTTATTAAGGTTTTCATCATCACCATTCACCAAAACATCAAAAGCTGGGGAACCCTCACAAGGCACAGCCGAATTTGACCCACCAATTCCACTTCCAACGGGTTCTTCACCCACAGGCTCCTCTTGAGCATTCAAAAAGATATCATCATCATCAGAAACGACATCATGACTGTTACTATAATCTCCAGCAACTTTCATATCTATATTCCAATAAGCAAGTTTAGGGAAAAAGCCAATTTCATCATATTATTAGACTAAAAAGAAAAGTGAAATTGGGTATAAAAGAAGAACCTGAAACGTGTGACGATGAAGGCAAAGCTGCTTCCTTTGGGTCCATTATCTGTCTGGGTACCTCCGCCCGGGAAAGTTACCGGGAAAAATTCGTGACGCTTTAGGGTTTAGAACTATATGTGGTATGGAGTAATCGTCTAATTGGATATGGAGTAGGATAGAAGATGAGGAAGCAATCTGCGCCGAGGCCAGAGGGTGGGAGTGAGGAAGGGAGAGCTGGATAGGAGACGATAAGGTTTTGGAGGTTTTGGACCGATAGCAACTTGCAAGGTCGAACCAACCAGGAGCATTTTGATGTGGCTTTGTATACGGTGTTGTTTTGAACGATTTTCGATTTCTATTTGGGGTTCTTTGCCAGTTTTGATTGATTCGGTCCACAATGCCCTTTTTGAGGCGGGATATATGGGGGCCCAAATTTTTTAAAATGTACTTCCTTCGGTTCCAAAAAATCTTGACACTTTGATTTCACAGTTTTTAAAGAAATAAATACTGTTTGACATTGTTTTGTGTATATTTATTTGCCAAATAAGGCAAATAAGGAATTGTAAAGATCTTTCTGGTACTCCTAAAAATGGAAAGTGTAAAGATCTTTCAGAATCGGAGGGAGTATATGGTAATATTATATATTAATACTAATCAGTAAAATACAGTTAGTAAGGAAGAAGAATATAGATCTATCATTTTTTCGTTGGTCCTTTCACTCTTTTAGTTTTCTTTTGACGAGTATTCAATTGATTTCAGTATACGTATTTAGATTGAGATTTTTTGTTAACTTTTCATATTAATGTGGGTCTCGATTTTACGATTAGAATGGGGGCCTCCAAATTCATTAGACGACCCTGCTAGTCCGGACCTGGACCGAATAGATATCGGTCCGGTCTTCGATCCAAGGATCTTATCGATTCCGGTTCCGGCCCGATTTGGTTCAAAATCCGAAATATTTCGGTCCAAATAGTTAAAACGGAATTTAATTATTAGATGTGTGTGTATATACACGAACACATACTCCGTACATAGTACCTTAATTAATTTACTTTTTTATCACCAACTAACCTTCTTTCATATCATAAGTTTCAGGATCATTACATCAATCAAAGGAAAAACAAAACTGACACCAACTAAAATCCAACAACTACGACTGTAAACCCTATAATCAGACTTAGAGACAGTCACCCGTGAAAGAGCAACGCGAATCGCTAACAATGTAGCGGGTTTCACACAGCCATCCTTGTTCCCATAGATCCAAACATACTCAATGACATAAAAAGGGTTGAATTCCCAAACAAAATGACAAACCTAACAACATAGATGATAACAAGAAGTCAAATGACAGAATAAAAATAACTAATAGGAAAACTTCCACGGACTCTAGCACCTCGTACAACTCATGCTGATGGCTCAGGAGGAGGGCGTATCCTTGGTACCACTCTAATTGATTCTCCATTGTCAATCATCATCTGGCCTGCTCAAGATCCGTGAACCTCTCCTCGTCCTGCGCTCATAGCAAATCCACCGCTAGCGGTCATCTTCATCAATGTCATCCTCACGAAGAAATCGATCGCCGAACTTTGGCTTCGATGTCGTCAAGCTTGCAAGGATTCTTGTCAATCTGCCTCAAATCCAATCCCAGCGCCGACACAAGTGAAGGGGATTCACCGACCGAAAGAACCAAGCCTTAGATCTGCTAAGGAAAAACCAAACCCTAGACCTTCTAGGGAGAGACCGCGACGCTCGCCCGATGACGGCTTAGAATGGATACGAAATGGCAAGCATCGACCCAAACTGGAGCGAAGGTAGATTGCGGCGCCAATTAGATCCTTAATTAATTTACTTAAAACATACATTAATTACGTGATACAATACCTTAGACATTAACTCAAGTTACATACTCCGTGTGTAGTTATATTTACATATTTACACTAATAAAATTGTGTAGTATAAAAACATTAGGAGTTGGAATATGAAGGTGCATTGTGTATACTTATATTTACTTGTTTTAACCATAATTCACAGTGTGATTAACAGGGCTGGCTATATGGGGGAGGCACCTAAGCAGATGTCTAGGGCACCAAAATAATGTAGGGCGTCAATTTTTTAAAATAAAACTACTATATTTACATAATGAGTCTTTGGTACTCTGTTTTTTGAAACGGAAAGAATTACTCCACTACGCAGGAGGAGGAGGAGGAGGAGGAGGAGGAGGAGGAGAACTTGTAATTGTTGTAAAAGGTATATGTGTGTCACATGTCCATTATGAATAATAAGTAATTTAATATTCCAGAAATTACAAAACTTCTAACTACTTAAGTCACTACGGAGTATGATAGAGTTTTACTTATCAGTAAATTCTATTATATAATTTAGTACAATATTTACTAATGGGTACTCGTATGTTTTACTATATTATAGTCAATATAATTTTAAAATGACTAAGGAAAATAAAACAGTGTCTTTAATTTAACTATACCTATTGTTGAGGTTTAATCCCGTAGATCCGAAAGCCCAACACAAACTTTGGATATATCAGGAAATGGGACGGCAATTCAGTGTATAAAAGAAATATAAAAGATGATATCAACGAACACTCAAAAGCCCACTTGTATTAAGTAATTTGACTATTACACTGTAAACTACCCAAACGGTATGTCGGAATAGTAACTAATACAAGAAATAAGAGAGATAATGTTATTCTAGGCTTGAGTATCAAAATGCTAACCCTTATAATGAATCTAATCGTTCTATTTATACTAATGGGGGTATGGGGTACTTCATGTTGATTGATTGCTTTATTTAGCCACTTGGAAACCCATGCTCCCACTAGCTGTCGTCATACTTTAGCAATAAATGCCCCCTGCCACTTGTTGGCTACCCGCAACCCAAACGGGCAGGTGGATCCTTCTGGGATCATCATTGATCTAGCCCAAGTTCGTTGATTAATCCGATCCCCGTTCGGTACATCTGATCTGGAGTCATCATTGATCTGGCCCATTAATGATCTGGCCCAAGTATGTTAATTGGTCCGAACTCCGTTCGACACATATTCTCCCAGAAGTTGGTTCATTTCCTAGATGATGGGCCCGTTTAATGGACTGGATGTCTTGGGCCTTGGATCCGGATATTGGGCTTGCGGCCCAATATCCCAACACGAGCCCCCCACTTCCGATGTCTCGAACAGTAGTGAGTGCATTGGGAAGTAGAAGTTACCTGCTGAATGGCGATCGGGATCCAGAGTTTGCTGTTTCCCCATGCCTTGATTAGTACCTTTTCTTGCGGCTGTCGTTTGATATTTCCCATAATCGTCATGATTACTGATCTTTGCTTCTCCATGCAACACGTGTCCCTCCAAATAGTCTAGATGACGTGTCATTACCTGGTTGGTCGTCGATACGGCGTTTGTCAGGCTATAAATTTAGCCTTTAGTTCTTTAGTTCTGGGTTTTCCGAATTATCAAATCTTTCATGCTTCAGCTCTGCCTTCTCTCTAAACCTTCCTCAGCTTTTCGTGTCCAGGTACTTTTCATCCCTTACTTTTCTCCCCTTTCTTCGGTCTGGTCGGTATGACCTCTCAATCGCGTTCCCTCGATTTGGAAATGGCTTCCCAAGGGGATGACCATGCTGTTACCAGTGTGGATGTCATAAAGGTCCCGTTTGCTAGTGGTTCAACTGAAGCGATGACGGAGACTAGGGCGGAGGCGGAGGATTCCTCCGTTGGCTCCTCTATAGATGATGATTCTGACGACACGAACTTTGATGATGAACTCATTACGATGGCGGCTGGCCTCCCGGGCGACGTTCCCCGTCACAAGGTGGATTTGAGTATAATTCAGGAAAGGAGGCAAAAATTGACCTCTCACAATAGGGCCCAAATCCCAGCCCTAATCCCTGATCCAGTTAACTTTCGTCTTCGGACTGGGTTTCATCCACTGCGCCACCTTCCTGGGATGGTGGTGGTCCATCTAGACTCAGTAAAAGCTGGGCTTAGGTTTCCCCTACATCCCTTCTTTGTTTCCTTCCTTAACTTTTATGAGATAGTACCGGCCCAAGTTATGCCGAACTCCTATCGGGTAATAGCGGGCTTCATTTGCCTTTGTAAAGATGCCGACGTGACTCCCACCCTAGAGCTGTTTCATCAATTTTTCAAGGTGGCCCCCCCAGCAGACACATGGTCACCTGGCGGCAACTGCCCGATCGGGTCATATCTTATTTAAGTGTAACCCTACTTCGATCAAAGGGTGGAAGGACCGGTTCTTTTTCGTCTCTGTCCCGGACGACCTGATCCCGAACAAGTGGAATGCATTTCCCCGAAAAACTCCCGATCCGCTCCTTTCTGAACAAATCTGCAAGGATGTCTTTGCTATAGAGAAGGACAAATGTTGTGATATCATGGGATATCTGACCCCTGACCAACTAATCAAGGCCGGGATAGGTATTGCCTGCTCTCTTGGGTCTACTTTTTTAAGAACCAAGTATCGTGGGTCGGGCGGTCCTTCCCATGCGAGAAACGTTCCCTTTCCATTTTTGTTTCCCACGTGGTAAGGCCGCTCGGTACTAAAACTTTCCTTTTGTTATTTTTCAGCTCCCAATCCAGACGCTCCAATGGACAACAGCCGTGTTCTAGCAGCCGATGGGGTCGGGAAAAGGAAGAAAGCAAGAAAGAATCCCAAACCCAATCCTTCCACCACCACTGCTCAAGATGTCGGGTCTTCTCAACCCATTGAGGAGCCGCAACCCATCCAGCAGGTCCCCCATCAGGACCACTTTGAAGAAATGTTGATCGAAGATCGGTTCGGATCCGATCAGTTACATCAATTCTCTGAGCACTTTCAGGTTGCTCCGGATGCCAACATGACTGCATGTGAGACCAATACCGTCCACCTTTCTACGCAGGTCGAACGGATCTCTCTGGCAGATCCATTTCATGAAATGTTGGAGAAGGTTGGTTCCCCTGCAAGCCAGATTTGGTCCACTTCTTCGTGGTTCAATAATTTTGCCGTTCCTAAGCTGCCGGTCGAGCAGTCTGAAGAATGCCTGGCCTTGGCGGCTTTGAAGGTATCACTCTTTTCTCATAATTTCTCATATGCTACATTCTGTTCTACATTATCTGACCTCCCGAACGTCATTCTGTAGGTTGGGCTTTACAGTCTGCAACTGAGGGAGGCTCGGCTAGCCAAAGAGCGGGAGTTGATTATTGCTCAGACTTCCGCTGAGCAGAATGCGGCTGCTGCCTTCGCTGCTTTGGAGACCGAATGGAAGGCCTCCGTGGAAGAAAAGCAACGGCTTGAGTTAGATCTTGGTGAGCTCAGGGTCCAGCT